GCACATGTCCCTACCGTTTTAAGAAAGGACAAGAAGCTGTCTGCTCGAGCCGTAAAGTGTCAGTTCCTGGGGGATATCGGACGAAACAAAGGGTTACCGTCTGTGGGATATCTACAACAACAGGTACATATTATCACGAGATGTGTTGTTCGACACGACCAATGTGGCCACCGTGGTCCAGCGAGCAATCGGGAATGCCTAGTCTGGCATCACTTCTAAATCTGCCGCGTGCGAGTTATCCGCAGCAAAAAGAGTGGAAACACTTGCCAACGAGAAGAAGGAGACAGTGGGAGTTAAGTCGCCTGCACAGAGGTCTACGGACACAGTGGGAGCAGCATTGACTACACAGGAGACTACCCAAACAGTGGGAGCTCAGAATAAACGATGACGTGCGGAACTAGCGGAGGCACCACAAAGCCGTGAACTGCGACCACGTCGAGATGTGAAGAAACCTAAGAGGTATCAGGACTATCAGCGCTTCCAGGCGATGATGGATAGTACCATTGCAAGAGACATACTGGAGCACAAAGTGCCAACACCGCGATCGCTAAAAGAAGCTTTGAGTGGACCTCATAGAAAGCAATGGAAAAAGGCACTGGAACTAGAGTACGACTCCTTGATTGAGAATGGAGTGTGGAGGCTCGTACCGCTGCCACCTGGGCGGAAGGCTTGCCCTGTCATTGGGTACTGGTTGTAACGTATAACGCCGACGGGTCTGTCGAACGTTCAAAGCGCGCCTTGTTGCGCAAGGTAACCACCAAGAGTTTGGGGTGGATTGCGACGAGGAATACGCACCAGTGGCACGATTCGAGCCGCTATGTGTAGTGCTGGCAATTGGGATCATATTAAACTGTCATATCCATCAAATGAATGTCCATACGGCGTTCCAAAAAGGCCCAATGGAAAAAGAACAAAAGATCTATATGAGGCAACGTCATGGTTTTGTGAAGCGAGGTCACTGGCATCTGGTCTGTGAACTTCAAAAAAGCATTTATGGTCTAAAACAAGCCCCTCGTATCTGGTATCGAGTCCTTTATAGCTTTTTGACTTCGATGAGTTTTGTACGCTGCCACAAAGAGTTTTGTATCTACGTTCAAAAAGTGGGAGAAGAATGGATCATAGTCGTGGTGTATGTTGATGATCTGACAATTATGTCGCAGAGCATGCGATTCATCAACAGGCTGAAAGTCGAGTTGTCAAAAACGGTTCAAAATGAAGGACCTCGGTGATATTTACTATATCCTCAAAATGGAGGTGCACCGCAATAGAGACCAGCGTGCGATGATGATCTGACAACGCAAGTACATTTCAGAGCTAATCACAAAGTTCAAAATGCTCCTGTACTGACACCACAA